GCAAGCTAAATCTCTTTCAGGGAAGCAAATAACCTTGGGGGATTATCTGCTCTGGTACTAAAAATGGGGGGGAAAAAGTCTGTTTTGTATCTCTTGAAAAGTTCTATTTCATCCCGCGGTACAAATGCTTCCTCCCAGCTAGAGCTTTGGCTCACGTCTGTCCAGCATTTTCTGGACAGGGAAACACCAGCCCTGGGAGCTGTGGCGTGATGGGCAGCACCACACACCGTTCTATGAGGAAGTTACATAAAAATCAGTCTTTCGTTCCAAACAAAATGTCAGGAGCTGCAGACACAGTTCAAGACTATATATAGCCTGAAGGCACAGGACATATGCAAACGGCATCTATTCAATGTCATCAGCCAGCCCAGTTACCCACCTCACGCTGGCATTCAACTTCAAAATATCCAGATAGAGGAAATTGTCACATGTAAGGGGGAAAAATCAGAGTTAGCAAGAGCTCGAAGAGAAGAGCAAGCCGGCAAACAGGACTGAGAGAAGGTGACCGGAGGTGAGGCAGGTCTCTGGCCTAACCCAGGTCCTAGCCCCAGCTGCCCTGCAGAACCTGCCAGGGGCGACCTCACATGCCTCGGAAGACTCACGGGCACCGCACATGCTATAGAATCCCCCCAACGCCCACAGTCGCTCAGTTATGACTCACACCCGCCCTTCCATGCAAAAGACCCGAAGGAACAAGAATCCCAGGCCGAAGCTTCTAGTATTGGGGCTTGAACGATAGGACAGCAGTGAGGGCATTTGCCTTGCATGCAGCCAACGTGGGTTCGAATCCCAGCACCCCACATGGTCCCCTGAGCACCGCCAGGAGTAAATCCTGAGTGCAGAGCCAGGAGTAACCCCTGTGCATCACCGGGTGAAAAAATTAACAATAAAAATATAACACCGTGGAGATGTGCAGACTGGGGGCGGGGTGCAGAGGGAGACCTCCCAAAGAGTGGCCCAGAGTGAGCATAACATCCCCAAAGATTCCGTAGGATGGGTCCGCCAGGTCTGGGGTGCAGCCTCACACTTGAGTCTAAGCCACCCTGGTCAGGATGTCCAAAGAGTTCTCAGAAAAGGACCAGAAACTCTGCATTGGAGCAGAGTAGAGAGGATGATTCAGGGGAAGGAAAGCATTAGGGGGCATCTTTCGAACTGCTCAAGGGCCCAGGTGACTGTTCAGAGCGGGAACTGTGTCTGCCTGCGGACAGCTAAGCCGACTCCTGCCCAGCCCTGCCCAGCCCCGAGCACCCAAACAAAACATTCATTTTGAAAAACGGCATATTACTACAGAGACACCTCTAACAACTCCCACCCGGCGAGGCTCAGGGGATACCCCTGGCTCAGCACTCAGGAATTATTCTGGTGGTGCTTCGGGGACCATATGTGATGCCGGGGATTGAACTTGGGTCAGCTGCGTGCAAGGCAAATGCCCTCCGAATGTATATAGCTCCAGCCCTTGCAATTCCTCTTTAAAAGCCCCTAGGGTCATAACTGGTGGTGTGTGGGTCCCTCCTGTCCTGAACCCGGGGCTCCCCAGGTGATGCTGGGGCTCTAGCCCTCTGAGCTATCTCCACACCACCCAGAATTCCGTAAGTAAAGTGAAAAAAGTAAAGGCCCTCCCGTTGTTCGTCCATTTGCTCGAGCGGGCCCAGTAACGTCTCCATTGGAGACTTTGTTGTTACTGAGTTTGGCATACCGAATACGTCACGGGGAGCTTGCCAGGCTCTGCCGGGCGGGCGAGATACGCTTGGTAGCTTGCCGGGCTCTCCGAGAGGGGTGGAGGAATCGAACTCGGGTCGGCCATGTTGGCTGCGTGCAACGCAAACGCCCTGCCACTGTAATATCGCTCCAGCCATAATTCCGTATTAAAAAAAATTGTTTACGTTAACCACAGGGGCCGATGGCACAGCGAGGCCCGGGTTCTTTCTCTTAAGGTGCTGCTGAGACCAACATGCTGAGGAGATAGGGTGCCCGGAAATCTGGTGATGCACCTGCGTTCTAGAAAGGTCGTGTCTTGAGACCAGCAGCAGCAGTACCACAAATCAACGCACACACCCAAGAAAGCAGGGAAACGCGGTCACATCTCAAACACACCTACACAAGCTTCCAATGGCAGAGGGCGCAGAGGGCGCAGACAGGCACCGGAAGCTTTGGGGAAGTGCACGGGTTCAGGCTGACTCCCTGGCTTGGCACTGGGGGTGACACTTCGCGGGCTTGGGGGACCGTATGGGGTGCTTGGGAACGAACCCGGGTCTGCCAGGGGCAAGGCAAGTGCCCTACCCACCTTACTATCTCTCTGGCCCTGGTACGCTGTTTTTAGAAGACATTATCAAGCCGATGTGTTTCCCCCTTGCATCTTCCCCTTCATTACAGTATTTATTTTCCCTTTCTCGCTGAGGCTGAGGGTCGCACACTCTAGATGGTGGTTACCCACTTGGGGGGTGGGGGGTCTCACTCGGCCTGCCAGAACTCCAGCCATGCCCAATTTTCCCTATTTCCAGTGAAGAATATGCCATAGGAAAAACATCTGGTTGAAAACTCACATAAATCAATGCTTTTGGGTCTACAGATACTCTTAAGGGACTAAGCATGGAGAAACCTCACCGCACAGAAGAAAGAGCCAGAGTTCTGGCCCGGGCGCCCCTAAGAGCCAAGCTGACACTTCGAATGAGAAATTTTTCAGAAGTGCTCCCTGTCATAAAGATAGTAAACAAAACATATAAAATCATATTTGTAAACAAAATTCCACCTTTCAGAAAAAGACAACATTTAAAAAAGAAAATGTCCCGGGGACCCGACAGATAGTTCACTGCGAAGGTGCTTCCCAGGCATCAAAGAGTCAAATATGGACCCCTGAGGACCGCCAAGAGTAATCCCTGAGCATCACCAGGTGAAGCCCCAAGCAAAAACCAAAGCAAAGCAAACAAATAAATATGTGCTGAAAATAACCAGTAGGAAACAGGCTGGGACGGGCGTGTGGGAGAAACAGAATTTCCCGCACACCCTGCACCCAGCCCTGAGGTCACACTGCAGAACCTCAAGAGTTTGAATGAAAAATGTAAGCAATTTTATTTCTAAAAATGAGAATGTAAGATGAAAGTCTTCAGGTCTTGCCAAGACTCAATCAAGGGGAAAGGCGGGTCACGAAAACAAAATCACTCACAAACCTACGTTTCTTCTGCAGGCACCTGGGCAGCGGCTGCCACTCCTCGAAGTGGGGACCCGGGAGGATGTGCAGAAATTCCTCGATTCTGCGCCAACCAGGCCGGGAGAGCAGCTGGGCCAGCCGCATGCTGAGGGAGGCATAGCCGAGATGTCCGTGGGGTTCTGCGGAGGATTCGAGAGCGACACCTGGAGTCAACCAACTCCTCTCTGCCAATGGGCCATGGGATCTCTTTTTGTTTTTTTGTTTTGGTGGAGGCCATACCCTGCGGTGCTCAGGGCTCCCTCCTGGTGCTGCACTCAGGGATCACAACCTGGGTTGGCCGCATTAAAGGCAAACATCCTCCACGCTGCCATCCTGGATTTGACTTTGGGGAGGAACACAGTGTGCTCCAGCCTACCCTGCTCAGCCCTGCCATCTCCACCCTCTACCCAATTTCCCAATCTCTTCTCTCCTTCTCTCTCTCTCCCCCCCAACCCCGCCCCTACAGCTTTATGGATCAGACCTGGTGGTGCAGAGCTGACGCATGGCTCTGCCCTCTTCCTTCTGGCCTGGCACTCAGGAATCACTCCTGGCATGCACCGGGACCACATGGAAGGCTGGGGAGTGAGTCCAGGTCAGCTGCATGCAAGGTAAGCGCCTTACCTGCTGTGCTATCACTCCGGCTCCCCCAACTTAATTTTTAGTGTGAGAAATGGACACAAAACGAATTAGGCTATAACCAGATCCCACAGCCACAGGAAAATAGAAAAGGCAGGTTGGTGGGTCCAGGTACTGCGACAGCCACATCCTGCAGCACTGGGAGACCATGTGGACGGGAGGGAGCCCAGGGCCCACGCAGGCCACACCTGACACTGCATGGTCCCTGCCAGGGATGTGGAGCTCAGCAAACTGTGCCTTGAAGCCACAAAAGCTAACGATCGTATAGCCGGAGACCTCAACAATAGCAAATCAAGTGTAAAACGTTTCCTGGGTCCAAGCTATACAGTGTGGGAGGCGCTTGCTCAGTGCCCGGCCTCCCCACAGAACCCCGAGGCCTGCCAGGAGCCAGCCCTGAGCACTGGCAGCGGGAAGGGAGGGAACTGGACACCATGGCGAACTCGGAGCTGGAACAGTGAATGCCTGACACTTCTTATCCATAGCTTTATAAGTCACGGTGAGGAAATAAAAAATTGAGGAACAAAACCCAAGTGAGACAAAAGCAACTTCAGAAATACAACAACCAAGGGGTCAGAGTGACAGAACAGTGGCGAGGTGCTTGCCTTGCATGCGGCCAGCCTGGGTTCGATCCCCAGCATCCCATGTGGTTGCCTCAGCCCACCAGAATTGATCCCTTAGCGCAGAACCAGGAGTTAGCCCTGAGCACCTCTGGGTGTGCCTCCCCTTAAAACAAACAAACAAACAAAAAAAAAAAACCCAAAGAAATACAAATACTGATAGAGTGGAGATAACTCCTAAAAAAGATGAAATCAGGAAATCCATCCTTCAAGGGAAAAAGTGATTTTTAAAAACTTCCCCCAGAGTTAAAAAATTCAGCTTCTATCATTTTACTGATTCAGGTTTCAAAAGTGAGCTGAACCCAGAATAAATGAGCAGCAGGAGGGCGCGAGGTTCTAAGGAAGCTGGGGGCCGGGGACTGTGCTCTCATTATCACACGCCTTCCCAGCCTGCTCGGGCTGAACCCGGATTCCCTAGGTGCAGGAGCTAGTGGAAATGCCGCCAACGCCAGCGGCTGGGAGGAAGGAGGGAGGGACAGGGAGTGCAGACGATGACTGGCAAAGGACCTGACACCAGGAGAGGGCCTGGCACCACCTTTCCCCAGGAGCCCACAGCCCACCTGCCGCTTGGCCCCAGGCCCCAGTTACCTCAAAGGCGGCCAAGATGACCTTGGCCTTCTTGCTGAGCACGGCGCCCACGGCATTGAAGTTGCGGTCTAGGATCTCGACGTAGAGCTCCTCAGCTGAGTTCAGCGGCAGCTTCTTGGACTCTGTGGGCAAGTCCTGCCCATCACCCTGCCTCTTTGGGGCGAATTTCTCGGGTGGCAGCTTTACATGACCTGCACGGGAGGGGAAACCCCAAGTGAGACTCCAGAGACTTCCTGTCAGGGGAGAGCACTAGGCTTTGAGTCACTAGATGCGCACGAGCGTAGGACACTCACGCTTTTCACGCACGGCTTCCCTGGCCTGGTCCGCGGGATGCCTCCTGATACTGCCAGCCCGAACCGAACTCAGGATGGGGCCACCCGAGGAAACATGCCCCAGGGCGGCCTAACTGCAGGTCTGTCCTGCTGGCGCGTGCAAGTGCATGCCGTCTATACCGCCATTTCAACAAGCCAAGAGGAGCCCACGATGGGGCAGGAGTGATAGCACAGCAGGGAGGGTGTTTGCCTTGCACAGGGCAGACCCAGGTTCGATTCCCAGCATCCCATATGGCCCCCTGAGCACCGCCAGGAGTAACTCCTGAGTGCAGCGCCAGGAGTAAACCCTGTGCATTGCCAAGTGTGACCCCTGTCACTGTCCTCCCATTGTTCATTGATTTTGCTCAAGCGGGCCCAGTAACATCTCCATTTTGAGACTTGTTACTTTGTTTGCCATATAGAACACGTCACGGGTAGCTAGACAGGCTTTGCCATGCTGGGAAGATACTCTCCAAAAAAGAAAAAGAAAACGAAAAAGAAAAAAACAAGATCCCAGGAATCATCTCAGCACGGAAGTGTGCTTGAGGGCGGGAGACAGCTCCGATGGCTTCTTTCCTTTCTGTTTCCTTTCTCTGATTTTTGGGCCAAACCTGTCAGTGCTCAAGGCTTATTCCTGGCTCTGTGCTCTGGGCTAATTCTTGGCAGTGACTGGGGGAACCATATGCGGTCCTGGGGACCAAACTCACCCTAACTGCTGCACTGCCTCTAGCTCCAAGTTGGTTCCTTTCAAAAAATCATCTCCTCCACTTTCAACACAAATCCCGACGTGTCTACACACAATCAGCTCCACTGCTGTGGGTCCAGAGAGATGGGTCATCGGGGGCACCGCACGCTCAAGTCCAGCTGTCTGTTCCTCTGAGCACTGCCCCATGTGGAACCTGAGCACTGTGGGGTGGGTGCTGAGAATCATAAAGCAACAACAAGAACTCCTGCATCGGAGAATGTGGGGAGAGAAAGTGAACGACGGAAGAAAAATACTTCTCGGATGCTTTCCAAATCCTAAGCCCCTCGGAACAGCCCGGGCACCAGCGTCTGGAGACAGCACGCCACGGTGGCCGCGGGACCCGGGACCTGAGCACATGCTGAGATACACGAGGTCGGCAAGACCTCGCATTCCAGCTCAAAGCAGAGGGGCAGCCGCTGGCCCAGGCAGCCTGCACGCAGCTCCTGCACGGGCCTGCCATCGCCCTCGGTCCAGCCACAGGCGCAGAGCTGGGGAGTTAAGGGGGAGCCCAATTTCCCCTTGTTTTTCAGATTTCTCTTAATGGTTTCTTTTGGGGGGGGTCACACCCAGCAATGAACAGGAGTTACTCCTGGCTCTGCACTCAGGAATTACTCCTGGCGGTGCTCAGGGCACCATATGGGATGCTGGGAATCGAACCCGGGCTTGAGCTCTGTGCAAGGCAAATGCCCTACCCGCTGTGCTATCACTCCAGCCCTCTCCCTTAATTAAATGTTTGATCAGAGGTAAGTGTGTGATGTGAAGAGACTATGAGCTCCCGGAACTCCTTCCCCCCGGAGGCACCCCACAAGACCCATCTCTCACACCTCTACACCCAAAACCCCAGCACCTCTGCCAGATCCATCAAGGGACTTGCGGAAGCACCAAGAGGCGGGGACCCCTCGCACGGGGTGCTCCCGTGCCAGTGAAAGCTCGGAGCAGGAGTCTGGGGAGAGGCTGTGTGTGTGGCATCACCCCCAGCTACTGCCAGGCACAGCCCCGGTAGCCGCAGGGCCACGGACTGGCCCCACAGAGCAGAAAATCACAGAGATCAGCCCCGCAGTCCCTTTGGCACTGCTTATGACTGTCCCCACAAAAGGAAGCAACTTAAGAAGTTATCCTTCAGAACAACTGGTCTAAAACAACCGGAAAAAAACCCCATAATCCTGAAAGAGCAGGAAAACGCTTTGTTGTGTGGAAATGCCTCCATGTGTGGTCCTGTTCTGCTTCCGTGGCCACTGTCACTGAGCCACACATTCACCACTGCAGTGACATACACACTAACACACACGAACCCACACACACACACACATACACACACACACACACACACACCATCGCAATCCACTCTGCGATAACCAGCTTGGCACACTGGACAGACAGCACTGTCTGGATTCGGCCAGCACTCAGCAGCTGTAGGGCTCTGTGTCCCCAGAGAGACCCCATGCAGTTAGGTGCATCCCTGTCCTTCCAGATCCGGGCTCTATCCCCAGGGCTGTTTCCCAAGCCCCCGGCCAGGGCCACTCCTGGAGGCGCCGGAGTTACCCCTCTTGCGGCCTGGGGCTCCCTGTTCTGAAGAAAAGACACGAATCAGACTGTGGGAAACTTCTCAGACTGTATCCCAGCAGGAGATACTCCCGGCTCAGTGCTCACTGGACAGGCAGGAGCGCGGAATGAACCGAGTGCTGGCTGTGCGCCTGGCACTAGCCCCGTGAGCTTTCCTAGCCCCCACTCAGATCTGAAATGCTACAGAATCTAACATCCGGGGCCAAAGTCCCCTGACCTCAGACCCAGGCACCCCTCAGAAACGCTCTATTCCTCACGCCTCCCTGGGCGGCCCGAGCAGCGGGGCTGCACACCGCATGGCCCTCTGCACAAGGCCTTCGCCTCGGTTTCCGCGATGGTGTCCTGACTCGGGCTTGCTTTAACCTTGGGCTGAAAGTCACTCCCTGACATTTTCAAGTATTCTGACTTACCCACAAAGGCCACACCTTTAAAACAAGACACTTTTGAGATTGATTTTACTCAGCTAACCTATTAGTAAATGATGTCGCTTCACTTACTGTTCTGGATGCCATAAATTTCATCGATGAGTCCTTCGTATGTCAGCTGAGTCGCAAGGGGTGTTAATAAATCCACATTTCAATCAAGCAACAAGAGTTTATCAAAATCAGGAAATATTGAATTCTGACTTTCTGTAAACGCTCTCTTCATCCTGATCATCATATTGGCCACTTGCTGGGAACAAAGTACAGAGTCAGGGAGAGCCTTTTTAGCAATGGGCGGATTTTAAAATGAAGCTAAAAGGTGCCCGGCAATCCAAAATTTAAAAATAAGATGGAAAAAAATGGAACAATAAAATAAAACAAGACAGGCCTGAGACAGTATGGTGGGTAGGATGCTTGCCTTGCAGGTGGCTGACACAGGTTCAATTCCTCGCACCACATATGATCCCTCAAACCCTGCCAGGAGTGAGCCCCGAGCACTGCTGGGTACGGAGAGAGTGGGAGGAGGGAGAGGGCGAGAGAGGGAGGGAGAGTAGGGATGGAAAAGAAAAGATAAAGAACAGAAAAGAGAAAAGGAAAGAGGGCTGGGAGACAGCAGAGGGGCCAGGGGTCACGCCTTGCATGCAGACAGACTCATTGTGGTGGCCCGAGCACAGAGCCAAGAGCACTGCGAGGTGGAGCCCCAAACCCCACCCGCAGGAGAGCGGCCTCCCTCCCCGCCCCAGCTCACCCTGGCGCACTCGCCCTTGCCGAAGATCTAGGGGATGGTCCCGTACAGGCCTGCAGCATCATCAGGCCCTTGGTCGCGTGGTACAGGCCCATCTGGTCTCTGTCCAGGTAGCACTCCTGTGGGAGAGGGCCAGGCGCGTGGGCACAGGCTCTGTGAGTCAGCGCCGAGGCCCCAAGGCAGCACCTCTACTGGGGGTGAGCATTGCTGGGCGGGCGTGGAAAGGCTGGCCTCCGCATGCCCGCGTGACCACACAGCAGAACACTCTGGGCTTGTAGAAGGGCAAGCAGCCTCTCCCACATACAGCAGCGAGTGTTACAGGGGACAACAGGAGGGCAGCCACAGTCTCGGAGAAGGGCCACAAGGTCCATTTAACACGCAGACAAAAAAAAAATCTTTGGCCCAGAAAGAGCAAAGAGCACGCACGCGCCCCCCAGGCGGATGGTTCAGCAGGGCTGACAGAGCACACACGGTCCCCAGCGGGGCCTCAAGATCACTCCTGTGCCTCAATCCCTTCATCCAGCAAGCGCGGAGAGCAGAGGAGAAAAATCACGCAATGCGCTTCACCTGCACTCCACCTGATGGGGCAGCACTGTTGGTGCCCATCGCAGGACTCTTTTTTAATTTTTTTCTTTTTGGGTCACACCCGGCAATGTACTGGGGTTACGCCTGGCTCATGCACTCAAGAACTACTCCTAGTGGTGCTCGGGGGACCATATGTGATGCTGGGAATCGAACCCACATCGGCCACATGCAAGGCAAACACCCTACCTGCTGTGCTATTATTCCAGCTGCTCATTGTGGAATCTTTGACACTGTCTAAGGCAGCGGCCAACAGTCGTGCACCCCAACGGCGTGAGGACGAGGGGTGCAGACTGAGGGCGGGGTAGAGAGGGCGACCTCCCAGAGAGCCTGGCCCAGAGTGAGCATAACATCCCCAAAGATCCCGTAGGATGTCTCTGCCAAGTCTGGGGTGCAGCCTCACACTTCAGTCCAAACATCCTGGTCGGGATGTCCAAAGAGTTCTCAGAAAAGGACCAGAAGCTCCACATTGCATCAGAGCAGAGAGGAAGATTCCGTGGAAGGAAAGCATTAGGGGGCCTCTTTTGAACTGCTCAGGGGCCCAGGTGACTGTTCAGAGCGGGAACTGTGTCTGCCTGTGGACAGCTCAGCCGGCTCCTGCCCGGCCTGCCAAGCCCTGAGCACCCAAACAAAATATTCATTTTGAAAAACAGCGTATTACTACAGAGACACCTCTAACAACTCCCACCCGGTGAGGCTCAGGGGATATCCCTGGCTCAGCACTCAGGAATTATTCTGGTGGTGCTTCGGGGACCATATGGGATGCCGGGGATTGAACCTGGGTCACCTGCGTGCAAGGCAAATGCCCTCCGAATGTATATAGCTCCAGCCCTTGGAATTCCTCTTTAACAGCCACTAGGGTCATAACTGGTGGTGTGTGGGTCCCTCCTATCCTGAACTCGGGGCTCCCCAGGTGATGCGGGCTCGGGGGCCTTCGTGGTTCAGGGCGGGAGAGAAGGCGTGAATGCAGCATCCACGGGCGGATGTGGGGCCCGTGGCAAGGACCTGTCTTAGGTCTGTCTGTTGGGATGGCCTTGCCCCGCCCACGCAGGGCCAGGAGCAACCCTGGGTGTGACCGAGACAGCTCCTATCCTCAGCTGGGGTGACCAAGCCGCTTCCTCAACGCTTCCGCACTGCTGACTGGGAAAGGGAGCAGAGAGGCCGCTCCTAGACCTGCAATGGCTCAGATGGAAGGCGAATCCCTAGTCCTGTCACCACACAGGGCCGGGCAGGCCCCTGTCCTGTCACCACACAGGGGCAGGCAGGCCCGTATCCTATTACTACACAGGAGCATGCAGGCCTGTGTCCTGTCACCACACAAGGGCATGCAAGCCCCTCCCTGCTTCATGACTGGGGTGGGGAGAGACCATCGGGGGAGCCCAGGAAGTTCTGGATTCCACAGGCTGAAGCCCAGAGACGTGAGCAAACACACATGGAGCTGGGTGACAGCAGCCCAAAACCCGAGCGAGCCCCAGGTTCTTTCTCTTAAGGTGCTGCTGAGACCAACATGCCGAGGGGAAATGGTGCCCAGAAATCTGGTGATGCACCTGCGTTCTCGAAAGGTCGTGTCTTGAGACCAGCAGCAGCAGTACCACAAATCAACTCACACGCCCAAGGAATGCAGGGAAACGTGGTCACATCTCAAACACACCTGCACAAGCTTCCAATGATAGAGGGCGCAGAGGGCGCAGACAGGCACTGGGAACTTTGGGGCCGTGCACGTGTTCCGGCTGATTCCCTGGCTTGGTACTGGGGGTCACACCTGGCGGGGCTTGGGGGACCGTATGGGGTGCCAGGGAACAAACCCGGGTCTGCAAGGGACAAGGCAAGTGCCCTACCCACATTACTATCTCTCTGGTCCAGTACGCCGTTTTTAGAAGACATTATCAAGCTGATGTGTTTCCCCCTTGCATCTTCCCCTTCATTCCGGTATTTATTTTCCATTTCCCTCCCTTTCTCGCTGAGGCTGAGGGTCACACACTCTAGGTGGTGGTTACACACTTCGGGGGGGGTCCCCACTCTGCCTGCCAGAACTCCAGCCATGCCCAATTTTCCCTATTTCCAGTGAAAAATGTGCCATAGGAAAAACATCTGGGTGAAAACTCAAATAAATCAATGCTTTTCGGTCTACAGATTATCTTAAGAAACTCAGCATGGAGAAACCTCACCCCACAGAAGAAAGAGCCAGAGTTCTGGCCCGGGCACCCCTAAGAGCCAACCTGACACTTTGAAAGAGAAATTGTTCAGAAGTGCTCCCTGTCATAAAGATAGTAAACAAAACATATAAAATCATATTTGCAAACAAAACACAACCTTTCAGAAAAAGACAATATTAGAAAAGAAAAACTCCGGGAGCCAGATAGATATTATAGTGGGAATGTGCTTCCCTGGCATCAAAGAGTCAAATATGGACCCCTGAGGACCCCCAAGAGTAACCCCTGAGCATCATCAGGTGAGGCCCCAAGCAAAAACCAAAGCAAAGCAAACAAATAAATCACTTATCACTTAATCACTTAATCCCCGTTATTCATTGATTTATTCGAGCGGGTGCCAGTAATGTCTCCATTCATCCCAGTTGCGTGCTAGCGTAGCCCAATGGTATCTGTTCGTTCTAGCAACATGCAGAGCCTTAAACCGATCATTTAGGGTCTTGACGAAGAAGTCTGACCATCTTATAGGTGGGCGTCCACGTGATCTTTTGATGTCTCGTGGAATCCAATCAGTAATGGCTCTAGTCCAGCGGTTGTCTGTAAACCTCATTACGTGTCCAGCCCATCTGATTTTTGATGTCTTGGCAAATGAGACAGCATCCCTGAGTCTTGAGCGTTGACGAAGATCAGAACTCCGGATTCTATCTCTCATTTGAGTGAATCGTGATATTCCAAGCATAGTTCTTTCGATTCCTCTTTGAGAGACCCGAATAACGTTCTCATCCTGTTTTCATAGGGTCCAGGTCTCTGAGGCATATGTTAATGCAGGAAGAATAGTGGAATCAAAGAGGTGTGTTCGTAGCTGGAGGTTCTTTGTCCTTTTAGTTATTTCTTCAATGCTCTTGAAGGCATTCCAAGCCGCTCTCTTCCTCCTGCGCAACTCAGGTGCCAGGTCATTCATCATGTTGTTTTCTCGACCTAGGTATATATAACCGTTGCATTCGGAGATGGTGGTTCCATTGAGAGCGAATGGAGCGCCAGGAACAAGGCTGTTTCTCATAAACATTGTCTTCGTAAGATTCATCTGTAGTCCGACCTTTCCACATTCACGGTCAAATTCGTTCAGCATTTGTGCTGCTTGGCTGATGTTTGGTGTTATTAGAACGATGTCATCAGCAAAGCGGAGGTGGTGTAGTTGCCGACCATCTATCTTCACTCCCATGTTTTCCCATTCCATCGTCGCATGATGTTCTCGAGGGTGGCACTGAAGAGTTTTAGTGAAATGGTATCACCCTGCCGAACCCCTCTCTTGATATGGATGAGTACTTCTTTGTAGAATGGTGAGATTTTGGTAGTGAATCCGCAATTGAGCTCACGAAGGATCCTGATGTATTGAGTTTGTACGCCCTGATTGGCTAGGGCTTCCATGACCGCTTCCGTCTCAACAGAATCAAAGGCCTTCTTTAAATCAATGAACGTTAGACAGAGCGGCATCTTGAACTCCCGAGATACCTCAATGAGCTTGGTTATTGTGTGGATATGGTCGATGGTACTGAATCCTTTTCGGAATCCAGCTTGTTCACATGGTTGTCCTTCATCTAGCGTTCTGCTAACCCTATTCAGGATGACTCGAGTGAATAGTTTGTAGATGACAGACAATAGGCAGATTGGGCGATAGTTGCCAATGTCGTGGGTGTCTCCTTTCTTGTATAGTAGTACAGTCCTGCTGGTTTTCCATTGGGATGGAACCTTGCATTCAGACAGGTAGCGTGTGAAAAGTCGAGCCAATGTATTGATGAGTACTGATGGTAAGTTCTTCAGTTGTTCAGGTCTGATCTTGTCTGGGCCAGGTGCTCTTTGTTTCTTTACCGACGAGATGGCATGTTGGATTTCGGAAGGGAGAACATTGGGAACGACATATCCATCATGTGGTATGTGGTATGTGGGCAAGTGGATGTGGCTATTAAAGAGATCTGAGTAGAAGTCATGAATAATCTTCTCCATTGCCCTTCTGGAAGATGTGATAGATCCATCATGATGTCGGAGGGCAGTCATCTTGGTTTTGTAGTTGGTGAAGGACAGGCGGGCATTACGAATGTTTTTCCCAGCTCCTGCTGCATCTACCAGTACTGCAGCTCTCCTGTTTTTGAGGTCATCCTTGATGGCTTCTCTGCACTGTTTTGCCAGTTCGGATGTTCGCTTGTGGTTGCCTGAGGCATGTGCCAAGCCACGTTGGCGAATAAGTTCAAGAGTGTTCGAAGAAAGACGGTTTTTTGTGGTTATTTATCTCTTGGCATTCCTTGCACAATCATGGAGGTGCTGAATCATTCGATCGTATTCCTCATCAATGTTGTCAATGACGGCATCTTCCCATGTTGCCACAATAG